ATTTTTTTAAGAATAGATGTGAAATATATGAAAAAGGAAGTTTTACACTATAACTTTTTTTTCTTTTATGCTGTGGAACATTGTTAATCCAGTCTCCAAAAAGACATTGTTTTTTTGGAATATGGCTTGCATTTAGCCAGAAATATGAAAATATATGGGGATTTTTTTTTTTGACTGGGCGTATAAGTGGTTGGCTGTATTAGAGAAGGTGGCTGATAGATGGGGTTACATTGTAACAAACTTATTGACACATCATTGACTGTCATGCCTTTTTTTTTCCTTCCTGTGATTTGTAAGCTCACTTAAGTTTTTATGGTTTCAAGAGTTTTTTTCAGTAAGAGCAAATACAACTCAAAACTAAGTACAATTCAATAATTACTTTTTTTTATTGATTATCATTGTCATCACATTGTTTTGTCATAGTGTGTGCGCCTTTTTTTTTCCATCCATGTTGTGGACGCAGCATATCACTTATTAATGCAGGCTGTTTTTTTAATAGGAATAAGGGATTTAGTGATGGCTTGTTATTTAGTGCTAAACCTTTTTTTGACGATGAGATTTTTGAGGTAAGTGGACAGAATGAAGTACTAATGATTTTTTTTTGTGGACCAACTGGAGTGATAAATAAATGAATGGATGGATGAATGGGTTTTTTTATGGATAGATGGTAAAAAAGGATGGATGAATGGGAAAATGGATGGATTTTTTTTACAGAGGATGGAGGAATGGGAAATGGCATGGATGAGTGGGAAAAGCATTTTTTTGATAAAGAAATGATGGATGTGAAAAAGGATGGAATTTTCATTTGACGTTTTTTTTTATTATTGTTCTTCAGATAAAGGTTGATAAAGTCTCTATGCGTTGGTTTTTTTCACTGGCTGTGGGGGTGACATCCTGTCTCCTACCTATGTCCAATGTCTTTTTTTCTGCTGACCAATTGCGTGATGGTACATGGCTGATGGTTGAGTCACGCTTTTTTTAAGATGGCATGACAGTGAAAGAGAACTATGGTTCGAGCCTTGATAGATTTTTTTTATGTAGGCTACACCTTTTGGGCTTCCTGTGTATGTTATRTACTAGATTTTTTTRGTAACTAGTTCCYAGTCTACTCGTGGTCCATTGATAGCACAGGCATTTTTTTTCTTTGTGRTTTGTAGGTAGGAACTCGTATTGGACTTCAAAGAAGAAGAGATGGATCTCTTCATATTTATGTTAATGGTAYTGATCAGGGTGTGGCTGCCATTTTTTTTCCAAGGGTATGTTTGCTTAATAAATTGTCTTGCAATAGAAGTATCACTTTTTTTTTGTCTGCAAACTGCCAGGCTGCTCTTCTACCATTATATCATCACTTTTTTTTTTCAAGTTTTATTATTTAAATACTTATTTCCCTTTTCTGTAGATGGTTTTTTTTTTTGTAGATCTCTATGGTGTGGTAGAAGCTGTTTCCATCATTAGCCAGTTTTTTTATGGAAGGACAGTCACTATAGTACCTTTAAATGCTTGTGTATGGTAGTTTTTTTAACATGTATCTTTCTCTGTAGATCAA